CGGCCGCGGGGCGCCCCACCCCCCGCCACGGGAGCTGAGGGCATCGGTCACCTCTGCCCAACAGCCGGCTGAGCCCTCTGAACCCCCACTCCACGCAGGAAAGGTCCCCCGGGCGCAATAACACCTTCAGAAACAAAACACGACTGGCCTGCGAGAGCCCCTGGTGAGCTCTCCACTGCGCGCTGGAACTTCGCTGTGTCTGTCGGAGCCTCTCGCTGCGGGATGCTGCGGATGCCTCTCCGCCGGCCACTGGTCCTTAGGAAATGAAACTGAGCAGCGTTTCCTTCTGGTTATTGCTCCATACGCACGCGCGCCTGCCAGGCATGAGCAGAGCGGCCAGGCACAGCTGAGGTTTTTGGCAGATGCATCAGTAAAATCAACAACCCTACGAACCGGCATAGTTTATCCCTATTGCTTGGTTGCTGCCGTTGTGCAGCAGCACTTACCTTGAGCTGATTCCTGCCATACGTCCAGTGGCCGGGGATATTCAGGACCTTCTCCTTTCAAGATTCCTGCGGGGAGCAGCTTCTGCTGAACATCGTGCTTTGAAAGCCAAAAGCTGGTGTTGCCTTGCAAAGCAAACCCCAAAGCTCAACGCGGAAAGCAGGTGCATTTCTCAACCCGCTCTCCGTGTCGGTTGTCGCACTGTTCGGGGGGGGGGGGTTTGCAGCAAGCGACCCAAACCGGTGGGGCCGGCTCAGTCAGCCCACAGAATCACAAAATGTTTGGGGTTGGAAGGGACTTCTGGAGAACATCTAGTCCAGCCCCCTGGTGAAGCAGGGTCACCTACAGCAGGCTGCACAGGGCCTTGTCCAGGCGGGGCTTGAATATCCCCACAGAAGGAGAATCCACAGCCTCTCTGGGCAAAAGCCACGCAGAGCTCTGCGCTGTCCTGAGTATTTGTGTTCCTTTACCTTGAAGTCAGAGCCTCCGGTCTGTTGTGCCCCACAGAAATCAGAGAAGGGTGTCTGACCTCCAGCCTTTCAGCCAAAAGGCTGACAGCGTTTCCCAGCAGAGCTCTGAAGCATAAAGCTTAACGACAGGTCAAGTAGCACTGACTACATAAACTTGCTCAGATGCAAAGTGGGGTGGTTTTCTTTTGGTTACACAAATTACTTAAAACAATAATTACAAAAACAGAACATTTTTATTTCCCAATGATCTAGTCAGACCAGATCAGTAGTGGCTGAAACACATAAATGTCTGTTTTAGTTTCTGGAAAAGCTGCACTCTGAGTGCATTTTATAGACATAGTATTAAAAAAATTAAACCAAAACACCACAAACGTGATTATGAAGCTGAACCTTGTTTCTTCCCCGTCTGGCCTTTCTTGGCTGGCTTTTGACCTCCCATACAGTATCTGGCTCTTATCTCCACGGCTGCACAACTTCTGTGCTTCTCTTTGACTGATGAGATTTATAGGATCGGGTCCTGCAGGTTTATTTTTGGATATATGAATTCTCTAGTAAAATACTCTTCTGAACTGAAGCCAAGAGCTTCTGTAGGCATGAGACATCAGCTCCAGAAAAAACATTCTGGCATGCTAGCAAATGTTTACGTAGCTTTGCTGGGAGCAGCATACCATTCTATAAAAAACAAACAACTTGCCCCAAACTGGAAACTTGAGATCACTGTAAACTGATACCTTCTGAACATGATTTTTAGATTTTTTTTCACTTTTAATTGCGATGTCATCCATGGAGCTGCTGAACGTCTGATTTCTGACTGTCAGTGTAACCGTGGTACTGCATCTGTCTGCATTTCCAGCACCTGACAGGTGTTGGAGCAGACAGCCTATAGATAGCCCTGCGAGATCATATTCCTGCACAGTCAGCAGAGGCACCCGCGTGTGGTTTCCCTGCGTCTGTCAAATGATTTATCATGTGTAAAGAAACCACGGTCCAGCAGGTAGGATTACTTATTTTCCCCCCAGGGAATTTCAATTCTTGTTCCATTTTCTCTTCAGAGGAAATGGACCAAAAAAGTGATGTTTCACCCTTTCTGTGTGTCTATCTGCAGACACACAGCAGCTCTGCTGCAATTTCAGGCCACTCCAAGGTTTGATGCGTGAGCACTGATGCTACGGCGTGGGCACTCTGTGCTCACAGGGGTCCTGCAGCATGGGACCAGGCTGGCAGCGCCTCATGCTTCTACCTCCAGATGTGGAAAATCCCCCAGACCAGTACCTAAGGGGGTGGACTCAGGCTGTGTTGGGGTGATGGGGCTCACCTCATTCTGCAGCATCTTCTGCAGGTTGGTTCCCCAGCCACCCACACTGGGGCAGGCTGCAGGATGCTCCGGGAAGGCGTGCCAAGGGGTTTGGCTTCAGCAAAGCCCAGCGCGAGGGTGGACCATCTCTGGGAGCCCAGAAACATTTCCAGATCTCACTTGAAACCACCCTATCATTTAAAGCCGGCACCTTCTCCTGTAGGTTGTGATGGTTTTCCCAGTAAGACCGGATTTCCTGTTGGACAATGCCCAGCAGCTTGTAAATTAAATTGGGGAAGGGGAGAGGGGAAATGAGCCCTGCAACCAAGCTGCTGCTATCCCAGCTTAATTTAGCACAGGAACGGGAAGCAGTCGTAACAAGAATAACAATTCTCAATTGCTTTGGAAAAAAAACCCAGCTTATTTTTTTCCAAATCTCAATGGTGAATTTTACAAGTTTCAGTAGATAACACTGGGTTTGTAGGCGGTACTTTGGTTTTACTCTAAGTACATAAGCGCTTGATACAAAAGATTAAAAATGCTCCACTCTACTAATCCTCTTTCCAACAGTCTGATAGGAGTCTCAGCACACTACATCCCGTCTTTTAGGAAAAGATTAACTATTCAGTGATTGGAAATAGCTAATAGCTGTTTTATCTGGACATAACATTCCCACATTAATAACGCAAACAAAAGTAATCCAGCAACAAAAACCTTTCTTATGTCAACAGTTCAAATGAGCACTTACATGTTGCTTCAGAAAGTCATTTGGCTGCAGATTTAAAGTTAAAGCTCTGACATGAAGTCTTTCATGTCTTCTTACAGCACCAAAAGATGCACTTCTTCAGGAATTTGCCCAAGTCTCATCAGTGGTCTTGTCTAACTAAAGGAGGAACTGTATTTCACTGGAGCTGGGCCAAGATCTGTCTTTTCAGCTTCGCTTGTAGTACTGGGTGAGGAGCGGGGCTGGGGAGTTTTGGGGAGGGGAGGAATCAGGATCTATTTTGTCATATTGTCGATCTTTAGCAATTTTCTTACCGTGTTTGTACATTATGAAATGTCATTTCAGAAAAATAAAAGTCAAAATTGAAATATTATTTCAAAGCAGAATAAACTTATTCTGCTTATGAAATGATCAAACAAAACATTCTGACTTGACTTTGTCAATATTTGAATTTCAAAGAGTTTTCAAATACCTTCTCATTAAACCTGAATCTGCACTTTCTGGTGAATGAAGTTTTATCTCCCCACTTCCTCCTTTCCAGTCCATCTACCTTATTTCCCACTTCCTCTCTCCGCCCATTTCCCTTCAATAATGCCTGTCCACAGCATGGCTACTACAACTCTTCAGTCTGAAACCTGTATTTGGCTTCCATGTACTGGGACTCTGAAGTTCTGCAACATGCTCCCTTCCTCTATTTGCCAAGTTAGGAAATTAATTACACACACACAATTAAAAACACACACATGCTATTTTACTGAGGGCTGGGCTAGGATGCAAAATTAGAATCTTGGTTTCGAAAACACTCTGCAGGCAAAGCAAGCTCATTTGAGAGAACTAGATTGTTCCGCTAAAAATGAAAAGGGGAGAAACAGATGTGACACGCTCGTCCCAACTGGCAAACTTAGGAACACTTGCAGCGAGGTTTTGGCTCAGGCTCATCCGCATTTGCAGTGATTAAAAGAATAAGAGCATGGCCTGCTTTTGGTAGGATCAAAAGTATCAGAAACGGAGTCAGTAGATTTTATCTCCTCCTGTGAGTTCTGATGATTTTCTCAGTAAGTCTTGATTTCTTGTTGAACTACTTCCAGCAGTAACTGCAGTTTGTGTGTAAAATAATCTGAAAGGGTGAAAAAAGGAAGAAAGTTTAGTCTGGGGGAAATCTTGAGATACGGGTGAAAATCAGAGCATCACCACAGATAGCTGGAGTACTTTTGTTAGCCTGAGGACTGGAGGAAAGCCAGTGTTACTCCAGTCTTTAAAAAGGGCAAGAAGAAGGACACAGCGAACTACAGGCCCGTCAGCCTCACCTCCATCCCTGGAAAGGTGGAGCAGCTCATTCTGGAGGTCATCTCTAAGCAAGTGGAAGAAAAGAAGCTTATCAGGAATAGTCAGCACGGATTCACCAAAGGGAAATCACACTTGACCAATCTGATAGCCTTCTATGCTGGCATGCCTGGCTGGGTAGCGGAGGGGAAAGCAATGGATGTTGTCTACCTCGACTTCAGCAAGGCTTTCGACACTGTCTCCCATAACATCCTCCTAGGGAAGCTCAGGAAGTGTGGGCTGGATGAGTGGTCAGTGAGGTGGATTGAGAACTGACTGAATGGCAGAACTCAGAGGGTTGTCATCAGCGGTGCTGAGTCTGGTTGGAGGCCTGTAGCTAGTGGGGTTCGCCAGGGATCGGTACTCCGCCCAGTCTCGTTCAACTTATTTATCAGTGACCTGGATGAAGGGACAGAGTGTACCCTCAGCAAGTTTGCTGATGACACAAAACTGGGAGGAGTGGTAGATACACCAGAAGGCTGTGCTGCCATTCAGCAAGACCTTGACAGGCTGGAGAGTTGGGCAGAGAGGAACCTGACGAGTTCAACAAGGGCAAGTGCAGTGTCCGGCACCTGGGGAGGAACAGCCCCATGCACCAGTACAGGCTTGGGGAGGATCTGCTGGGAAGCAGCTCTGCGGAGAGGGACCTGGGTGTGCTGGGGGACGACAGGTTGACCATGAGCCAGCAGTGTGCCCTGGCTGCCAAGAAGGCCAATGGCTTTCTGGGGTGCATTAGGAGGAGTGTGGCCAGCAGTTGGAGGGAGGTTCTTCTTCCCCTCTACTCTGCCCTAGTGAGGCCCCATCTGGAGTCCTGTGTCCAGTGCTGGGCTCCTCACTTCAAGAAAGATGAGGAGCTGCTGGAGAGAGTCCAGCAGAGGACTATGTCACTGTATCTGTTTTCTTCTACTCAGTGGTTAGAGATACACCTCAGCCTTACATCAAATCAAAAGACAACAAGATTCATAACTGAAATTATAAATTAAACTCAAAACTGGGCTCTTGTTTCTCTTTGTGCCACCAGGGCTACACCCAAAGGAAATCTGTGCCAGACATCGCATGGAGTGGAGATGTATTTCATTTACACACCCATCTCTGCGCCCAAAACCATCCTGGCCTCTTTGCCAAACAGAGAGCCCTCAGGCAGCACCATCTTCTACCAGTCCCCTCCCCAGCCTTTCAGCAAGTATGTTTGCGCACAGGGTTACAGTGTCTGCCTGTCAGTCTCTCCATCCCAAATTTTGACCTTGCTGATCAGTGTCAGCCAAATTTGACTGAGAGGTGGTGATCCCGAAGATACGATAAAGTTTAGCAGAAACCAGGGCTGGGGTGAGAAAGCGACCCTCTCTGCTCCACCCACTGGTAGACCTCAGCCCTGTCTTTTTTAAAATCAGGGCATCAAGCTGGCTTATCAGTATATTCACAAGCCAAGCAGACAGCCCACGCCTGGCTGCCAACCACCCGCAGCACAGAATGCCCCTCGTCTCTTCGGCAGTGGAGGCTGTGCCCTGGGAAAGCCATTGAAGGGGTGTCAGGGGTCGTGATTTAGGTTTCATGAGGTCTGTTGGTCATGGACAACTTGCGTTATCAATGAGCTCTGGCAACAAACCAACAACCCCATGCCTGAGCGTGTTTAGGTCCACAACACAAACTCTAATGCATACTTACAAAATGGGCTACGGCAACGGGTTGACATTTGCCTATGGATTATGAGGTAGTAGACTGGAAAACCACTTAAGACCACGGTGCATCCAATGCTAATGCTCACAGGGTCTGAGTAGAACGACATCGCCACTGTGAAGAGGCAGATGATGGTAAAAGAGACAGGAACAAAGATGGGAACCTGGGGAAAAGAACACAGAAGGCTCTCAAGCAAAACTGATGGCTGTGGCAAATCAGCCTCCATACGTGCCAGCACACACTGTATTCACTTCTCCATCTTAAAGAAGATGAGAAGAATCACAGAGCTGTCCTGTACACTGTTTCTGTACGATCAGCTGCAAACGAGCAGGATGCATAGAACAAAAATTGACTAGTACCACCTTTGGAGCCCAATCATGTCCTGTGAGGTGCATGTCTCCTACACGGGCATCAAAATATAAACCTCATTTGCAACTGGAAGCCAAGCAGAGGGAGAAGTCGCCCACACCCCACTGCCCTCCGAACATACTGCTCCTGTGCATACACGTGCACAACGTATCTACTTACCTCCTGTGGCAACTGCTGGTGGAAAATCTGAGGCCAAGAGTAGAAGCAGCACTTTGAATCAAACCATTCTTTGGTTATAACCAATGATGTGACTCATTTTGACCTGCCTGCAGCTTGCTGGAGACTTATAGTGGCCAAAACAGGATAAACCAGACTCCCTAACTCCATAGCACCTGCACCAAAAACATGAGCTTCAACGACACCCTGATGAAAGACTAAAGAAGCAGTCAGCACTTCAGCCTTTCCCTGCTGGGTGAGCCAATTCATCTGGGTTATTTGGAGAGCAAATTGGAAGGCCGCAATAAATAGTAAAACTGTGAAACATTCCCTCAGTCTCTGGATCCAACCTCGGCCAAGTTACTCCTTGCCATGGCTGACAGAAGGAAAGAGCTGCTGGTCTCACCTAGGGTGACAATCTCTTTTTCAGTAACAGAGATCCTATTTTGGATGCTGACTGTGCCGAGCTGGAAGAGATCAGTCGCTCTGGCGATGGCAGCCATCCAGCCACCAAACACGCGCGGTCTCGCCACCTTTCCAGGCAGAGCATTCCCTGACAGCCTCTCCTACGTGCACGCACTCACGCTGCACATCTGCTTAACAGGTGCTTGAGAGGACTTCTTCCTCCTCTTACCGGTGTTTTCTCACCGTTTTTAACTCGGGATGCTACAGGGGGAGACGAAGTGCCTGCGGAGCCCCACGTACTGTACGGTTTGTCCTCGCTGGGCCGGTGGCAGAAGATGGCTTGTCCACGGCCACTAGAGCGCAGCACACGCCCGCGGCACCTGCGCGCAGCCCTCCCCTCTGCAGCATCACCCGGCTCCTCGTTTCACCGGGCTGTGAAAACTGGGGAGGAGTGGGGGGGAAAAAATCAGCTGAACTGACCAAAAGCCCAGCATTTTCTTCCCTTGCTTAATCTGCCTTTTGGGACCGTTAAAAGCCTGAATCTCGGTCTGAAAGAAAATGGGGCAAAATCTCAGCAACTGAAAACATCCCAGGTGCTACTCCACTAATAAACTTCCCCGGAGAAGCTCAGTTTATAACAGAAAGAGAAAACTTCTATAAAGTCTGGTTCTGGGTGAGTACACCAGTGCAGCCAGCCAACAAACTGGGAAGCTTCAAGGTCTCTGCTAAACACGCTGTCTCCAGCAAAGACCGAGACGAAAAATTACCCCAAACTTCGCATCAGGCCTGGCGCAACTCGGGGGGGAGCCCCGAGAAGTGTCACTGTCCCCCGAGCTTCTCGCTGATGGATTGCCCAGTGCCTGTGGCTTCGGAGGTCTCCTCTCTTCCCCAGGAGCCGGCTGGAGGTACCGTGCAAGCCGGAGAGAGGAACACTCTGCGCACGCCTCGAGTATCGCCCCGGCCAAATGCCTTCTGCATGATATCTGGTGGTGGGACAGGTACCCCAAGAGCAAGAACACTGCTCCAGCACCAGCTCCAGCTTCCCCCACGGACTTGAGGTGGATCCCTGCACCCAGCAGCATGAGAAGGGCTGTCCGAGGAGCCCGGCCGGAGGCTAGGGAAAGGCGTGAGAGGACAAGGCGTCCTGCACTTTGTGGTGCCCATGCACGTGCTGTGCACATCCTCAGGCCCCGCAGCAGCAGTAGTTGCACACCAGCTGCTTTATACTGTACAATATCTTTGTGCCAGTAGATGATTCCCCTTAAGCCAGGTTTGTTCCCAGGATCCCTCCAGCCACGTTCTTCTCCCCCAGGCCTGACACCCTCCCGCTTCTCAGCTAGAGCTGAGGCTTACCTACCACTGAAGCAGCATCCACGCAAGTGTCTCTCCTTGCAGCCCGTGACAGATGAGTGTGGCAACTGCCCTCTGCACGTCTCTCCGTCCTCAGCCTGAAACTTTGTCCCCTGGAGCAGGCTGCCGTCTTACAGATGCAACTGGTGACACCACGTAGAACTGGCTTTATAGGATTTACCACATCTCGCTCTTTGGGCACAGAAACCAATTTCAGGACCTCCCCACAGGCCTTACTGAGCAATAGGGATCGAGACCCCTTAGACCCTAAGGGCAACCATGTAATGCTCTAACTGTTAGCAAGTAAGCGAGACAAACGAGAAGCCTGGGCTTTCCTGGCTGTTAGGAACATGTCGTGCGTTACCTTGAACGGGCTGTGCAGCTCCGGGTGACGGCGGCGATGGACAATGAGCCCAAGGGTGGCTAATCCGATGAAGAGCCATCGGGAAAAGCTGAAGAAGTTCATTAGATGGTAGATATCTCCGATACACACCATGGCAGTAACCAAAGGGAACTGAGCATTGTGAAGATGAAATACAGTCATTAAAGCCTTACTACGGTCCTCAGACTAGAAAGGGTAATACGGAACACCTCCTGCAGCCCCCCTGCAATCACACGCAGCTACTTCACAGCCCCAGCATTTCAGAGGTCAGAGCGTTTTACAAAACAGTGTCACAGACTGAAGGCTAAAGGCCTGAACACAATTCTATGATGTGCTACAGAAAGGAGCAATCCTTTCAAGATCCACAGCATCTTTGATGCTTTATGTCCTGGGCAGGGCAATTAAAACATGCGTGATCCAAAAGCCTGGGCTGCTGCTACACAGGCTACCTACAAAGACACCTGCGAAGTTTTTAGCAGGTCAGTCAAGCTGCAAGAGGCACTGCAGCACAGTTAGGAGCTGGACCATTGCCAGAAAAAACAGGCAAACTAAAACCGAGAGCACCTCTCCAAATGCTCATTCCCTGCATTTCCACCACACCTGGGAATTCCAAATAGCCAAAGCCTGGCAAAGGTGTTTTCATAGGACAAGGTCAAGCAGCAACTGTGGCAGATGGTAGGGACAGCATTTTTAAAAAAAGCATCCAAGGCTATAAGACAGGGACTTTGAGGTAGTGGGTTTGGATACCACTGCTGGCACAAGGGGACTTAATACTTTGCAGCCATTTCCAGTATTCCACTTGCTTTATTTTTCAGAGGCTGACTTCGTGTTTCAACACCCTTTAAAACTCCTCAGCTTTTCCAGGCTTTGCAAGGAAGCCAAGACTGCAAGAACAGGGCATGTCACACAGCCAGATCTCCTTACCATTAACATGACAGCAGGAAGCGGCGTATGCCTTCGAATGTGGATCATGGAGAAGAGAGGAGGCCACTGTCCTTCCCTGGAAGCCACAAACAGAGTCCTAGGAAAAGACAGGGAGCCCTATGCATTAGCATCCCACATCCAGACTAGAAATGAGAAGATGAGCTGCTGGAATGACTTGAGGCCACAAGGCTCTCCCTCCACGCACCCACACCACACCACCCCCCAGGTCTGCTATTCAAGGCCACAGTTCTGCCTTTAGGCACTGTTTGGGGGCATTTGGAAGATAAATCCAATGTTGAACTCCTATAACTCTCCCAGGACCAGCTAGTTCAACGCAGTGCAGAGCCCACCAGCAGACCACTGGCGGCATCCCCTTGGGTGGCCTGTTAGCAGAGACCTTTGGGCAAGTTCAAAGTGACCACGCATGAGTTGAGGCTAGAAACAGAAGCAAGAAAGTTTCCTGCTGTCAGAGAAGGGGTTAATCTTTCCAGTAGGAACTGGAGGGGTCACAAACTTCAGTTCTTCATAAGAGAGGCTGGTGAGTTTATGAAAGTGGATTGTCAGTCTTGATGACTATATTTTTATGTATCTATATACATTTAAAATATATATATACATAAAGTGCAATTTCCTCAAATAACAGAGGATTTTCAATCCTCTGGCCAGCTGTTGGAAATCTAGTTTGGCATCCTGCCAAGAGGCCAGCTACACACAAGACCAGCTACAAACTGACAGCAGGGAGCTCCTTGCCTCCATCCCTCCTTTGACTCATGAAGGCAATTAGGGAGAAGGCATTTCATCCAATTTTATAAATTTAATATCCACAAACAAACCATGCCAGAGCATCAGCTGGGCTGGAGCGGAGCCCAAAGCAGCTGGGGCGTGAGTGTAAAACTGGGTTTATTGCTGCCTCTGTGGTTTTGCAGGGGTGTGGCTGGCCAGCAGCCAGGGAGGCCCCATCGCATTTAGATGGCCTTTCTGCAGCGATTATGTTAATGGTGCCAGGATGGGGGACAGAAAGGTGAGAGGAACACGCAGAACCTCTGTGCTGTCCAGGGACCTCTCATCCTCAATGAAAACCAGCGTCTAGAGGAGCTAACAGTGAGGATTCTGTGCACCTGTATTTAATACAGGACTTCAGGGTAGCGGATCAAATAACTCATTAGCTTTCACGTTATAAAACATCCCTTTCATATCAACTGATTTTCCCTTTTGCAATCCAAGCTGTGAAACAGAACCGTCTCCAGAGACTTCACTCAGCTCCTCGGGACCAGCACAATGTTCTTCTCCGTGTGCTGGCTCTCCTCTCCAATTTCAAGGCTCCCTTAAGGATGTGCAGTGTAGCAGCCAGTGAAGCTCGCAAGCAAATTTTTCCTTGGAACAAAGCTTTTCTTATTACTACAAGAAGACTTGTTGAGCCTCGACTCTTGCTTTAGGAATAGCCCATCCCCAATAAGATTTCACTGACCCCAAAGCAAAGCCCTCAAGGGAGAGTTTGCCTTTGGCCAGAGATTCTCACAACAGAGGCACCCTGTGGCGCACAGCGGAGCAGCTGGGTGAACCCAGTGAAAGAAGGCTTGGTCTCACTGAGCAGCTGCCAATGTCAACAAAGCCTCTAGTTCACCAGAAACATTGACATTTCACTTTAAACTGGGGATTTGAACTGAAGGGGGGGAGGAGAAGATAAAAATCTTTGTTTGTGACCAAACCTAGATACCAAAGTCTGGACCTGGCCAGAAATAGAAAGGGTAGACTCAGCCAACGGGAATCATTCTGTAGTTGACATCCTGGGAATCAAAGACCATATTTTTCCCACAAGAGTGGCTACAATGCCATCACGTGGACGGACAGTTGTGCAGGTCACTGGTCCTTCCCCCCGATTCAGAAAGCCAAGAGAGTAATAAATTCTTAGGGACGTGACCTTGAAAACGTGAGGATTCCTCCATTCATGGTTCCGAAGCAGGACAGTGCAACAAGGACAGGGACCACTGAGATCAGGCTTTTGAAGGCTCGCTGCACAAAGCTCTGGAGGAAGAGCAAGCATGACTTTAGAAACATCTGGTGATCTTTAGGTGACATCAGATTCAAAAAGAAACTTCCTCCATCGTAGCAGTAAAATATAACTCATAAATCTTGCCTTTTCTACTGTCATCTGCAGGTTCTTTTTCATTACCTTTTAGTCAAGACTAGAAGAAATTATTGTTGCCCAATAATCCAGAGAAATGACAAGCAATAAAGCATTTATTAGGAAAACCATCTCCTAAATACTTGCCACGACCAGCCCTTCAGTTTAAGCCGACCACACTGAAGAAAGATAATGTTAGGGGTGACAACTCACCACAGCCACAGCAGGAGAAGCCAGAACATCTTGCGTTCCCAGGACCGTGTAATAGGAGACGTTGGTGAGCATGTACCCCACAATTACAGTGACCACAGACACGATGACAGCCAGGGGGATATTTCTACAAGAAAGGGGAAGAGAGGCACACAAAGAACAAGCTGTTGTCCTTGTTAAGCACACTATTACCACAGATTGCAGCTGGCTTTGGTTAGGTGAACCCCCCAAACTTATTTCCTCCCATAGTGCATTTTGGAAAGCTGTGGTACCCCAGAGGCCGGTAACCCAAGGTGACTTCTTCCCAGCCTTACCGTTCAGGTCTGACCAACTCTTCACGCACAAAGCCAGCCTGAAACCTGCACAGTGGGAAGAGACGGGGAGAGAGTTTGAGCCGTGTCTCGGACACCAGCCTGCTGCCCATGAAGTGCCCTCCCGTCGCACCTACCAGCCTGAATATGCGAACATGCCTGCGTAAAAAGCCAGGGGCAGCTTATCCAAAACCAGCGACTGTCTGTCGAAAGCGTCCTGGAAATTTTCGGTGTGGCCTGCCGAAGTGATCAACAACGGACATGGAGCAAGGAAACATCAGAGATGGGCTTCCTTCCCATGGAAGAACACCCCTCGCACCTCTTGCCCAGACCTGGGAAGAGTGTTTGTGACTTCCTTTGAGCCAGGTATTCGCATTTGTTCCATGGCTTTAATTTGCAGCGCTGTGCTGACCCGTTCGCTTCACAAACAGGGACAGAACAAATCCATCCCCCGTCCAGCTACGGGAGACATTTCAGGAGGGGCAACATCGGCGGCTGGTTCTGTTTCAGACAGAGCCTAGTGTGGGAACAGGAGGTCGTGGAGGTGACAGAAGCCAAGTTGTCCTGTCCTTCCTTTAGGGCCAAAATGAATTCGCCAGGGTGACCCCCCTCTTCCCCAGCCCCCATAGCAGCTGGATGCAGACTCCTCTTTGATGTGGTGTGGCCAGCGAGGCGGCTAATCCGGCCCTCACCGTGCTCCCTCCCCGTCCCGCTGCCAAAGCGCTGACCCCAGCCCCACGCCGGTGGCTCAGATAGAGATCATGTTTTACTAACTGCTTGAAATCACAACAATTAAAAAATAAAACGAACCACAACAACAACAAAAAAATAAAAGTCAGGATTTTGCACATGAACCATATTTTATCAAACTCAGAAAAAACCTAAGGAAGGGAGAAACACCTAACAGCCTCTCATTCAAAGGAAGACCAATAAGAAAGACACAGTCAAAAAGAGTTGTATTTTCAACGTTTTCAAATCTGGGTGGCCCAAAGTTTGGGTTCCACATCTATATTCAGTTACCCACATCAAAGTCTCTTTAAAAGTAAAAGGTGCAGAGGGGGGTTGGACTAGCTGATCCACAGAGGTCCCTTCCAAGCCCTACCATTTGGTGGTTCTGCGGAACTCATCTAGTTGGGCTTCGCCAGGGAAGGGATGAAACAGCACAGAGCACATGGAGAAAGTCAGGCCACTTCTATGGGGGTGCCTCTGCAAGGAGCTCTGTGACGAGATTCGGGCATTTGGGTTTGGAACACTGGCTCAGCAAGTCTCCAAAACAAACCTGAGCCAAAGGGAAGGTAACGGCTGAGGAAAGGACAAGGGTGTAACCAAAAAAAGGAGAAGGTGGCAGGGGAATAAGGCAAACTGATTCAAAAGCACAAAACTCCTTTTTAAGCACAAGAAACAAGTCAAAAAGAAAATAGATTTGAAGAAAACTAAACCAAGATATGGGAGTGGGCTTATCAGGGCAGTCTTTTTATGTTCTAAAATGACTGCTGATAAGTGATGGTGCATAAAAAGGATTTATTGTCTGCAATACATTAATGAGTGATTTACAGTCCTCCACGAGTCACATGAAATACAACCTGTCATACTGGGGGTCTCTCGGTGAGTTCTCTCTCCAGATGTCACCGGCACTTAGCCTCCTCGCTGGAGGACGGGTGCCAGGGCTCCAGATTGTCATTTGACAGCATTCCTAACAACAACGGCTCAGGATTTCTAGCTGCGGGGCAGTCCTTCAGCTCAGAAGTGCTGCCAGCCCCAGGGGACCTTTGCACTTTCAAAGGAGCCAGCTGCAGACATCAGACAGAAACACCAACGTGAAGCCTCCTGCCTGTGCTGTTTTCTCTGCAGAGGAAGGTAACAGCGGGAAGAGGGAGCAGGCTTCATCCCTTGAGTGGGAATGCCTTGGCTGAAGCCTGGATTAAAGCCAATACTCTTGTATCATTGCCGGAAGATACTACTGGTAGGTTTATTCCCCTCTGGGTGTAAGTGTGCAATCCTGTGCAAGTCCATTGTAAGTTTACTAAGTTACTGCCCATCTCAATTAGGAGATAAAAATCATTAGCTCAAGCCACAGAAAGGTTAGAGATGCAGTTACCAGGGCTCAGCTGAGGGCTGGTAACTCATTACACAGCTGTAACTGGCTGGGGTCACCATGGGATGCTGTCACATTTCCCTGATGTCCATCAAATTTGTGCTGCTTCGGAAGGATTTCGGGCCACGATGAAAACAGGCAAGTCTGACACCAAAGAAAGAGGGTCTGCAGAGGAAGGTGTCTGTATGACCCTGGGTAGGCTCACACAGCCTCAGGCACTGTGATTCACTCAGTTTTGGAGAAAGCCCAGCTGAGCCAGGAGCACCAGCCCAGTGCAGTGGTGCAGCTTAGTGCCAGGTGACCTGATCTCAGCTCCCACCTAACTCACATCAGCACACACGCAGAGAAAGCTCCTGCCAGCGAAAGGAGTACCACACTTGTCACTAAGGACCGACCAAAGCTGAGACAGGCGGGCATGTCGGGCACGCTCCCCCAGCCACGCGACAGCACACCTACCCTGGGCCAGCAGCATCATCCCCGGCACGATGATGAGTGCGAGGGCCAGGAGTTTGACGATGGAGAGCGCCGTCTGCAGCCGGGCACTCCAGGTGACGCTCCAGGAATTGAGGGTGAGGACAATGTCTGGAGAGGAGACCACACTGGTACAGCTATAGCCCATGCTCGACGCACATGGGAAAAAATACAGCAGTGCTCCCTGCTCTAGGGACATCGGGGAGAAGGCTGCAGCTTCACAGGGAGAATGCTCGGGGTAAGAGACGTCGGAAAACATTACAGGTGTGGCCCAACGTATGGCATTTGAAGGGGGAGGTGAGTGATGCTCCCAAGAGGGACCAGGAGCCTGGTTCCTGTCGGGTGATCCACACCTGCCTGGGGGTAAGGTGGGGGTCTGCAGCGAGGTCTCAGCAGCCCCCTTCGCAGAGGTCCCAGTGCCAGCACACACCAGCCCCGAGCAGCTTCACAGGCTGGGTGCACCAGGCGAGGAGTCCAAAATCTTGTGCCTTACACCCTCAACCCAGGTGGCATTTGCACGACTGTAGATGAAGAGTTTCTCCTCCCACACTTGGCACAATCCCCCCAGCCCAGGGCTCCAGCTGGTCAGCAGGGAGGCCCATTCCCCTTCTTGGAGAACACAGTGTCCCCAAAGCAGCGCCTTGGATCAGGAAGTTTTAGGTGGCTGCGGGGGCCCCGATCCCATGGCTGTCCCAGAAGAAAACACCCCCTAAGCACCCCCGGCCCGGGGCAGAGAGGCCCCGAGATCGGCAGTCCCGTAGAAGTTAGTACTTACAGTAGCCCAAGAGAGACACGAGCTTCACCGCAGGGACAGGGGCTGCGCAGGGGGCAAAAAATGGCTCCAGCAGGTAGCGTCCAAACGCCAACGCAACCACTGCGCTGTTGGCAGGCCTGGGGAGGTGGGGGGAACCGAGCACAAAACTGTGGTTTGCAGACAGCCAAAATATGGCATGATGTAAAACTGCACAAAACTTGGGGAGGCGGGGAGTTTCCCCCACCCAGCTTAATCCTGCTCTCCCGTGCAGATGGGGAAATCCTGTAGAGTGTTTTTCATAGTTTTTTTGTTCAGTAAAAGGGTTAAACATCACACGCTGCAAAAAGATGATTTCCCAACTTGAATGCAAAAGTTGAGATTAATCATGCTGAGCAGTCAGTGTGGTTTATATGTCCTGCTTCATCTCGGCTTACGTGAACCTTTTATCGAGAGGTGAGGACTTTCTTTTTGAAGTTAAAAAAAGAAGTCAGTTACAATTGTTTAAAATATTCTTTAACTCAGACCTAAGGCAGAAAGTTGTCTCCACAGGAGAATCCAAAAAGGTTTCACAATGAAAACAGAAGATCTGAAATAAATCTGGCATCTATTGTCAGTCACTGAAAATACCATGGCTCTTGGAAGATACCAGCTACCAGGGGCAAAGACAGATATTCTTCAAGTACAGATCACATTGAACATGTGTAGCTATTTACTCATTACGCCTCCTTCCTTTTATCACTGAAAATCTTTAAAAGTTGTTCAGATTGCTTCTACTCTTTCGTTTGCAAACTGCCTAGACTGTCACCTGGCACCGTAACTTTTGGGTGTTTAAATCATCGCAGCATCCAGCAAAAGGCAAAGAAACAAAATCTCTTACCTGATAGCAAAAAACTCTGCCCACAGGAATAAGAAACTTGGCAGAGGCCCTAGTGTCTCCAAAATGTAGATATAATGTCCTCCAGACTTGGTGATTCTTGTTCCCAGCTCTGCATAACACAAAGCACCTGGAAAAGTTCAGGTAGAAACACACTGAGTAAATCATCCCATGGATCTTCTCCTTTCTGTGTGACTTCTCAGGGACAGAATGAATCTGTTGAAAATAAGTAGTGAATTGGAGGAAGAAAAAGCGGTTTAGCAGAACCACACTTTTCCCTATTTTTGTGTGCTACAGTGTTTTGAAACAAGTTCACTTTTCTGTCAGAATGAAAGAAATTCGCTGGGTTTTGGTAAACGACACAACATTTCCATAGGAGTTATGTGGAAAGGTGTGTGAAAGAAATGTTGCATGAAACTACAAGAGGCTCCCTCTGGAAAATGTCCTGGAGGTTTGGGTTCTCTTCCTTCTCCTCGCAGCTAGACTGGTGTAACACTGCTCGCAAGGCAGCTACAGCAGCTCAGCCAACAGGCCATGGCTGAACCGAACGTTTCAATCACGTTGTTGATCACAGATCACATTCCTGTATCCTTATCTTGCCTCTTCGCATAAATCCCTTCCTTCATTTGAAGACACCGGACAGAGGACCTGGAAGGCTGAGGGAGCTGGGCTTGTTCAACCTGAAGAAGAGAAGGCTGAGAGGGGACCTCATAAATGCTTATAAATATCTCAAGGGTGGGTGTCAGGAAGACAGAGCCAAAGTCTTTTCAGTGGTGCCCAGCAGCAGGACAAGGGGCAACCAGCACAAACTGAAGCAGAGGAAGTTCCATCTGAACATGAGGAAGAACTTTGTCTCTCTGAGGGTGATGGAGCACTGGAACAGGCTGCCCAGGGAGGTTGTGGAGTCTCCTTCTCTGGAGATATTCAAAAGCCACCTGGACGAGGTCCCGTGCAGCCTGCTGTAGGTGACCCTGCTTCAGCAGGGGGTTGGACTAGATGACCCACAGAGGTCCCTTCCAATCGCTAACATTCTGTGATTCTGTGAAGGGCATCTCCTCTGAGAGGGAAGTCCTGGCACTGGGGGGAAAACACGGCCCTGATGGTGCAGAGCAAGGGAAATGTCCACGTGAGAGGCTCAGTCACTCTCTTCTCATGTTCACACACAGGTGCACCAACAGACCTGGGGACTGCCCTCTCCTGCCTCCGCAAGCAGCTCCGTGCCTCCCTGCCCCTCACAACGAGAAACCCTGGGAGAGGCGTGCCGGAGAAGGCAGGTTAAATCTTCCAGGCAAACGGATACAAACCTTTATGCCTCCACCTGGACCAAAAAAATCCCATCTGTGCTTTCTCCACAGAGCAACTCATCATGCCGCTGGAATGTGTCTAAGTATGAATCTCAAGCCCTGCCTATGCCGGATTCACCGGCTAGGTGAAACATCCTTTGTTCACCAAAAAAAATCGTAAAACACTTCGCTTCTTTGAGCACAGTTCTCCTTGCAGTGGGGCTGAGCGCTGTTGGGTGCGATCCGGTGGGGTAAGACCATCTCCAGCTGTGCTATCTACCTCTTTGCCCAGCTCAGACGGCCGTGGAGGGAGAGCAATCCAGTGGTTACATGGCCATGCCTCCAGGTCCTGTGGTGATCGTGCCAGACTCCGGTCGTGCTGACGGTGAGGACCTCCATTTTTCCTACCTCTCTGCTGGCAAATTTGTGCAGAATCCCTGTTCAAAGTGTTGAATATAGGCAGTCACCTCATCTCATTTATTCCAGTGGGTCTCTTTACATGCTTCAAGTGCGCATTTCAGTGTTTTGCTGAACTCATGCTATGGGACTCGTATAAATTCTGTGCTTGAAAGAAAACACCTTAAAGTAAAGCAGGCGTTTTTAACGTACTGCAAGAAAACCATCAGAGGAATGATCGGGGAGGTCATCAAGCTGGTAAAAAGGAAGAACAATCCAACAAATTTGGCTATAAAATACAGTAACTTGACAAAGAGGCTCCCAAGGCCCTTCCAGCAGAGTCTATCAAAGGATGCTATGGAGAAAGAAACCTTTCCAAGTGCAGAGCTTGGGCCACATGACCAGCAAACATCTCATTTATTGCTCTGCTCAGTTAAGAGAGACACCATACTCACATTACATTTTAAGATTTGCTTTAACCAAAAGTATATCATTCGCCGACCAACCACACACGGGCTGCATCCCACGTAGACGGAGACCTGTACTTCACAGCCTATGCATCAACATGAAATATTGGTACCCATATGCTAAGAGCAAGAACCATAATCGTTGCCATATTAACAATTGAATGTCCCAATTTCTAAACGTGCATGTTCATGTCACAGTGCCATGGTGTTTTTTTCCACACAGAGTATTTCTCCTTTCTTGTTTTTTTTTTCTAAGTTACATCAGAAGAAGAACTTTAAAGTCACCCACTGAAATAAACATCAGATTTCTCCCCAGAGTTGAGAGATCGTGCAGCTCTCCTAACAGCACCTTCAGAGCATTTCTGAGATGGTGCTTTCATACAGCTTGTGAAGGAAACCAAAAGGCGTACGTTTTATCCATCGTAACTTTAAGAGCTACATTATTTCAAAAGATCTAGAATGAAACTGCCACCAAAAAGTCAACCCTTGGTGAGACTCGTGTGAAATGCCAGAAACCGAGCCAAAGGTAATGCACAGGCAAGCCCAGCTGAACTGATCTGCTCCATCTCCTTGCTCCAAGGCACCATCAGACATATCCAAACCGTTTCTGACAGACACCCACCCTCCCGCCCCGGGCTGCTGGATACGCTGCAGCTCCCCAGGCAGTCTGCTCTCTGTCCTCACTGACAGAGAGGGCAGCCCTTACGGCACGTTCAGACTGTCGCTTCTTGCCCTTTTCACAGTGTCTGTGAAAAGCACCGCGTAGCCCTCGTACTCACAAGTGCCCTTTAGCTGCTTGCCTCTCTCTTCCACCTTATAGAGTGGATCCCCTCATTTTCTCCCATCTTTCCTGGCAGAGACTACGCTATCTCCATCTGCAGTCACTGTCACTCCTCTGCCCGTAAGTGCTGGGATTTTCTCAGTCACCGGGGGTGTTGGGGAATCATTTGAACTAAAGACCCCCGGTGACCTCCCAGGTTTGTTAAACCTTCTTTCCTGTCGCAGCAGGAA